CGGGTAGCACCCAAAAGTTGTACTGTAAGAAAGACGTTGACCTTTTATTCGTCTTTTCCTTCTGTGATCAATAAACCTTATAAACAATTTGTACATTTATAGGCGTTAAGCCTGCTAAAAGCAGTTGAAAATGGAAAAGAATCCTTTTTCTCGACCTCCTTTCCAAGCTTAGATCACGCGTTAGGTGGTGGAATACCATGTTCGTCTTTGACTGAATTAGTAGGCCCGGCGAATTCTGGTAAAACCCAACTATGTCTCACTTTGTCTGTGCTCGCAACATTGCCTACCAGTATGAATGGCCTAGGCGGTGGAGTGTGCTATATCGATACTCAAGGAACTTTTGGAGCCGATCGGTAACTATTATGAATTAATATTCTGCACCTTTATTTCTCGTATTATCTCATCTTTCAATTGTTATGACATCGCGTCAAGGTTAATAGAGATTGCACAGAATAGATTTTCTCATATGTTTGGTATCGAAAATAAGCAATGGGAGTTAAATTTAAAGAATATGACTGATTCCATTCACCTGATGAAAGTTAAATCATCCAGTGACCTAAAGGATATGTAAGGGCGAGCTATCGCTTTCTTCTTCAACACGAACCATTCTGTGATTTTCTAACAAGGGCATTTAATGAAATGGATATTTGTTAGATTAGAAAATCTTCAAGAATTTATTATTAAAAATAATATACGGTTATTAATAATCGATTCGTTCGGCGCGTTAATAAGAACAGAATTCTCTATTCAGAATCCGAGTATCTATAATGGGAACGCAAAAATGCTAGTTGAAAGAAGTCATCTGATAGTCAGATTGGCCTCGATGCTCAAGTAAGAATTGTCAGGCAAATCTGTTCATATCTCTCTTCTTTTCCCAGCAACTTTTTTTAAGTTATTTGTTTTGGTCTATAAGATTCCTGGCTGAATCATTTAACATGCCAACAGTAGTCACAAACCAGACAATAACAGTTTATCAACAAAAAAAGACTGTTTATGTACCACCAGATATAAATGACAATTGGAATGGTAATGCTTGTTTATTTCACGCCAAGTGATATCATTTTAAAAAAATACGAATACCTCATGCTTTCCCATTCGATTAGAATCCGACACCTTTGTAAAACCCGCGCTAGGAAATACTTGGGCGCACTCGGTTAACACGCAATTGTGGATGGATTTTTGTAACTACCATCCTGTTGTTTTACGTATTAATCCAACCATACCGAGAAACATTCGGAAGGTCACCATCACCAAATCCCCAATCGCCCCAGATAAAACTTTTTATTATAGGATAACGGCACAAGGGATTGTGGGATACATATCGTCAATGGATTCGAGAAAGCAAAGCGCCAAATTTTACGACAAAACGTCGGAGGCAATTGACGATCAGGATATATCCCCTAGTAAAAAGTTGAGAACGAATGAGTGTGTCGATCAGACCGAAACGGAAACGGTGAGGGTCAACTAGAATCTAACCTTTTTCGAGTTGTATGTAGCAATCTTTATAATATTCACGTAGAGTTATAATTATGACCGAAACTATCTTATGCTCAAAGTACGGCTTACAATGTCATCTGAGAGTTCTGATTGTCTTTATTTAATCAGTTTTGTCATTAACAAAAAACAAAATAAAAATAATTAAAAATATAAGTAAATAAAAAAAACAAAGAAATAAGATTTATAAATAAGTAAAAAAACAAAAGTTATTTAAATAAAATAATTCTCTATTTAACTATTTGATTTTCTTTTTTTAAAGTCAGCTAATCTGATACACTTGAATATATATTATTATCAAAATAAATTCTTAACAATCTAATAATATTTCTTATATTTTGTCAATTCAAAATTATATAATTATTTGATTAACATGTATAGATTGTTACATAATTAGAAAAATTTACAAATGTTTAAAACATATAAATTTTTTTTGTATTTAATAAAAAAACAATTATAAAAAAATTAAAAAATTAAAATATAATAACTATATAGAAATTAAAAATCAATACAAAAAAAAAAAAAGATAAAATTTCAAACTAATATTGAATTAATATTAAATAATTTTAACTTATAATAAATTTAAGACATAAGTTATAATTTACTTTATTAAACTTATACTAATCTAA